CATCATCATTATAATCATGATCATCATCAACATTTTCATCATCATCACCAATACCACCACTACTGCCACCACTTTCATCATCATCATCCTGATTAACACCATCACATCATCATTATAATCATCATCATCATCAACATTTTCATCATCATCACCAATACCACCACTACTGCCACCACCTTCATCATCTTCATCCTGATTAACACCATCACATCATCATAATCATCATCATCATCCCATTATCATCATTATTATCATCGTCACCATCATCAGACTTACCATCACCACCATCATCATCACCACCATCATTAAATCATCATCATTACCAACCATCATAGCCTTTATCATCATCATCATGATCATCACATCATCATCATTATCAATCATGATCATCAACATCATCAGTCATCATCACCACCATCAGTCTTTACAATAACCACCATCACCATCAGTCATCATTTGCATCATAATCATCGGTTATCATCATCATCATCATCAGGCATCATCATCATCATCAGTCTTTACAATTACCACCACCACCATCACCATCAGTCATCATCATCAGTCATCATCTCCATTATCACCATCCTCATCCCCGTCATCATCTTCATTATTACCATCATTCAACTAAAATCATATTTAATATTTTTATACCCCTAAACTTTTGAAGTCCATATAGTTTCCTGTGAATCCTTTATCCAAAAGGGTTAGACGGTTAGCTACAAACATGCAAATCAGGAAAGAAGGTTAGCGTATGGCAAATAAGTGAGTCTACCTGTGCTTTATCCCTGGAAAATGCTGTAACATTCCACTGCCACTCAGCTAATTAAGGAAAAACAGTTGTGGAATAAAATTGTGAAGTAATAATATGAGGGATATGTCGGCAGTCTTTTGTGTGGATGGTTTTTTATTGCAACGTATAAGTTTAGTTTTGTATGGCAATTGCGTACTTTACTGTATGACACATCATGGCAGGTGTAGGTAAGTGGTAGGTATGTGATGGTAAGCAAGTAATTAGTAAAGATTTGATAACTTGTGGTAAGTGAGTAGTAAGTGTTTGTTGAATAGTATGTACCAAGTGGTTGGTAGGTGGTAGGTAAATATTGTGGGTTCAAGTGGTACGTAGCTACGATGTTCTGCAAAAATAAAGTGGTCACTTTATGAAGCTCTACATATAATAAAGACTTTCAGTTAACTTACAAGATTCAGCAACCTGCTCATCCTCCTTGGGTCTTGGTACGACCTTTTCTAGGGATGATAGGGATTCTGTTACCAGTGGTGCTTCCCTAAGCTTAAGAAGCTGATTACCCTATCAAGGAAATGAGGAGTCAACATGCCAAATCTGACTAATAAGGAGTGGATAGATTATTGAAGGATAGAGTGATGGATGGATGGACGGATGTACGGATGGACGGATGCATGGATGGATACATGGATGGACGGGTGGATGGATGTTCAAATGAATGAATGAATGAATGAATGAACAAACAAATGAAGGAACAAATGAATTGAATAAATGCATAAATGAATGATTAAATGAGATGTGAATGGAATGGAATGGGATAGACTGACAATAACTACTTTGAAAACAAGGTAAATCTGAATAATTCATCAACTGCCATTAAATACCTTGTCAGACAAAGCATTTAAAGTTTCTAAAATGTGCTGGACATTCAAGGATTTCATACATCTGATAGGGAAAAAAGTTGAAATAATTATTAAATAATTACTAATTAATTATTATTTAATGTGCTGGACATTCAGGGATTTTATACATCTGATAGGGAAAAAAGTTGAAATAATTATTAAATAATTACTAATTAATTATTATTTAATGTGCTGGACATTCAAGGATTTCATACATCTGATAGGGAAAAAAGTTGGAATAATTATT